TGGGTTCTTGTTAAAGAGATTGTAAAGAGGTTTTCTAAATTTTTTATGTGTATCAGAGACACTGATAGCATCAATTTACATCATTCTAATTTTCAATCAGATGTCTGTGGTTCTTGTTAAAGAGATTGTAAAAGGGTTTTCTATATTTTTTATGTGTATCAGAGACACTGATAGCATCAATTTACACCATTCTAATTTTCAATCAGATGTCTGTGGTTCTTGTTAAAGAGATTGTAAAGAGGTTTTCTAAATTTTTTATGTGTATCAGGGACCCTGATAGCATCAATTTACACCATTCTAATTTTCAATCAGATGTCTGTGGTTCTTGTTAAAGAGATTGTAAAGAGGTTTTCTAAATTTTTTATGTGTATCAGGGACACTGATAGCATCAATTTACATCATTCTAATTTTCAATCAGACGTCTGTGGTTCTTGTTAAAGAGATTGTAAAGAGATTTTCTAAATTGTTTATGTGTATCAGAGACACTGATATCATCAATTTACATCATTCTAATTTTCAATCAGACGTCTGTGGTTCCTGCAAAAAAATTTCAAAAGCATATCTAGGACGTCTTCCAGGTTGAAAGAAAGTTGTAATTTTATAAATGAAATAAAAGATTTGTGTGATTTTTTTGTAGCCATTTGGACACAACCTTTCACAGGCCACCATCTTAGAAGAAAATACAATACTAAAAGCTACGGAGGTAGAATTTCCCTCGAAACCTCCAGCGAGTTCTGAAGCTAAGGTAATATTTTCATTTCTACCTAAAATATGTGACAGATTTCAGATTTTAAACCCAGTTTCCCCTTGTCAGTGATGAAGGTAAGAGGGGCTGACATGGAAAAAGTGTCTAGTTGTTTAGATGAGACAATAAACCGAGGCCCCGTGTGCTACAGGCTGTACACGTTAAAGATCCCTCAACAGTTGGAAATAGAAAAAAGTACATTTCTTGTAGGCACGATAGAGACTACAGTTTTCATCTGATCTTGATGAAACTTGGTATTCGTGTATATATTGATGAGATCTCAGTCAAGTTCGAAATTGGTTACAAGCGGTTGAGAGTTATTGCCCTTGACTTAATACAAACACATCAAATTTAGCTTGTATGCACGATGGAGACTACAGTTTTTATCCGATCTTGATGAAACTTAATATAATATGCACGTATATATCGATGAGATCACAGTTGAGTTCGAATTTGGTAGCAATAGGATGAACGGTCCAAGAGTTATTGCCCTTGTATGTATGTCCATGTTGAATTTGATGATAATTTGATGATAATTTGATGATAATTTGATGATAATTTGATGATAATTTGATGATAATTTGATGATAATTTGATGATAATTTGATGATAATTTGATAAACTGTTTCATTTTTTTGCCTTGACTTACAAATATTTTTAAGATTATTTGAAAATTCATTATTAAGTCACTAAAGATTTGCTATCATTTCAGACAGCTGGTAGTGGGCGCATGTTACCTTGTCTGGTAATCTATCTTGAACCTGTGTTATGAACCCGTGAACAGAACTGTTGAGTGATATATTTTTATTTACTTTATTTCCAGTCATTTATTAGAAAATGTTTACAATATAAGAAAGAATTTCGACCAGACGTCTTGAGTCTTGGATCTGATGATTATTTAAAACCGGCTTCTTTAAAATCCAAGTAAGTATTTAAATAACTTGTCATTATTATTCAAGAGACAGCTTCGCCATTTTTGATGGGTTGATTTGAGTCTTGAATATATGTAAAAATTATCCCTGAAGTATATAAAGCAAAATTTTTACTAATAAACGCATGGCTGGCTGTTTAGGGGTTGATTTGAGTGTTGAATATATGTAAATAGTCTTCAGAAATACTAGAAATGTACCAAAATCACATAATTCCTTCAAAAATATCTCAAACTAGGAATTTTACTCACTATTTCTATAGATGTATTTTCTATATATGACAGTGTCTCAAGAAAAGACGAGTCATCATTTTAACTTTCAAACGTAGATAATTCTAGACACACATGGATTTGAATGCTCAATTGTGCGTCCGTAACATGTTTTGTTAGCAGATGATGAGCTTTGTGCTACAGGCTGTACACATTAAAGATCCCTCGACAGTTGGAAATGGAAAAAGAGTAGGTTAATGCTGCTATCCTGGCAAAATTTCCCTCATTGCACACTGCATGGTGTAGCCTGTCCTCATTAGCCAAAAACAGGTCCAGAAAATTAGGTGGTAAAACTCCTTCATTTCATTTCATTTGTTACAGTATTGATTATATCCGCTCCAATTTCCCTCATTGCACACTGCATGGCGTTGTCTGTCTTCATTAGCCCAAACAGGTTAATTTCATTTCGTTTATGTTTGACGCCATTTTTTTGCTCTATTTTTAGACACAACGTGGATATTCAGAGTGGAATGACGAGCGGAAGTCTAACTCTTCAATCTTCACAATCATCATCACAGACTACGGCAGGGCACCCGTCTGCTACACTTAGCCTCAATCAATCCCCGGCTTTCTCTTTCGGTGAAAAATTCTCCTAGTCAAATGTATTATGAACTATAATTCTTGTCAAACTATATTATTGTATGTTTTTAATTAATTTTGATAACGTCGCGCAAACATGTTTGTTTTCATCTGGTACGATTCAAAACATAAACGAAACAGTCCGTTTTTTTAAGATCGTTTAAAGATGGGTTTCCTTATTTTTTAGTGTCAAATTAAGCAAACTATTTGATTAATTGGTATTTCTAATGAATTATCATGTATTCTTAATCATATCATTATGTTCTTATTGCATATAATTAAAGATGGGTTTCCTTATTTTTTAGTGTCAAATTAAGCAAACTATTTGATTAATTGGTGTTTCTAATGAATTATCATGTATTCTTAATCATATCATTATGTTCTTATTGCATATAATTAAAGATGGGTTTCCTTATTTTTTAGTGTCAAATTAAGTAAACTATTTGATTAATTGGTGTTTATAATGAATTATCATGTATTCTTAATCATATCATTATTTTCTTATTGCATATAATTAAAGATGGGTTTCCTTATTTTTTAGTGTCAAATTAAGTAAACTATTTGATTAATTGGTGTTTCTAATGAATTATCATGTATTCTTAATCATATCATTATGTTCTTATTGCATATAATTAAGAGTTTTAACCAATCATAAATGTCCATGTATGTACAGCCTGGATAAACAAAAAAAGGACTTTTTGACCTTTCTTGATCGGTCACTCATAGGAATTCTGCTGGTAATTCTCTTCTAATTTAGCTAATTATGAATTAATTATGGACATGTGAGACATACTGGTATTTTTCCAAGTCATTAGAACACCTCTACTTTCTATTCATATAAGTATTAGCATTTTCATTTTCATAAATGAAATTAAGGGAACCCATCTTTAAAGTAATAATGAACACAATATAAGTTTAGTCTATATAGTTTTTATAACTAGTTATTCTACCCGCAAAAAAAATGGCCATTTTGTGTTTATGGATGAATAGAAACCAGATGAGGGCAAATATTTTTGTGCGGCGATAATCTAGACCAATTTAAATTGAAAGGGCTGTGTATGCAAGCTACGTTAAAAATTATGACGAATTTTATTCCTTTTTGTTAATCATGTTTACAAAAAGGAATTGTGGGATATGGAAACCAAAGACACTGTCATATTACTCTACTTTTGGTTTCTATTTCCCACAATTCCTTAATTTATCAAGATTATGGTTTTACATGACTACTTTTGATTGGTTGAAAATACTATCTTTTGGACAAGCCTTTGATAGAAAACTTGTTAGATTACAATGTAGAGTAAAAATATCAAAAAAGAAAAAAGATACGAAATTTTAATCTAATTAATTTGGATTGTTGACGATTTGTTTAAAATACTATCGCTAGGACACGCCTAGCGTTCACAAAACACAAATTAACTGCTCTTGGGGTTTATACAGAATAAAGTGATAATTTGTGATCGAAAACATTTTGGAAAACAGAATTTAGCTACTTTTGGACTTTGTCAGACGCCATTCCGCACTGTTTATGTAAAAGTGATGTACAACATAACATTTTGGCAATACAAAGACCCTCACCATTTAACCGCTTAGGGGTTTGACGGAGTAACGCCCTAACCTACTGTTTATTTAAAAGTGAGTGTACAACAAAACATTTTGGCAATACAAAGACCCTCAGCATTTAACCATTTTAGGGGGTTTGACGGAGTAACGCCCTAACCTACTGTCATAAAA